GAGAAACTTTTCTCCCAGAAGTTTCTTGTGTTTATTGTTAATACAGTGATATTCTTTTATGTGTACACTCGGCAGAGCTTCCCAACGAAAGGATAATATTTAAATCAATTTCAGAAATAATCCTAATATTTTACCTATTATTGTCTTGTAATATATATTATAAGATGATTAAAATACAAAGATATACAAACAATATTTCAATTTTCTTCTTCAAATTCTATGTCAAATCACCCAAAGACAGAATTGAGAAGCAATATAAAGTTTAATAAAGAATCCACTATCAAGGAAAAGCAGAAGGAACAGGGGAGAACTTTGGGGATTGGGCAATAAGGGGCAGCTGTGCAAGCTCATGGCCTCTTCCTGATTTTATACCGGCTCTTTGAAATTTATAAGTAAGCAAGTTATTTAGAAGAAAAATATGAACTTCATCCACATCAAGCTCTTAGGATTGTTCAGTTACAATCATTTTCTCAATATGAAAAGAGCGATCACTTACTCTACATAGTTAAAGCAATGTGCAAAGATTCAGGATAAAAGATTTAATTGATCATTTCGAAAAGTCTAATTCTTGACATATGATCATTTGTTGATCATTAAGAAATTTACCATAAAAAGGTGATTGAACAGAATCACTTTAGGCTTATCATTTTTGCTTAGTTTTCGTTTCTCCTACTACCTTTACAATATTCTCTTTTTGTTTTGTTTTACAGAAAGTATGCGTTATGGTTCAAAGATGTCTCCATCCTGAAGAACTAATCACCTGCAAAGGAGGAAAAATATTCCACATAATTAGAAAAAATTGGCAAAGCCCCAATCTCTTAAGAAGAACTGGCTATATAATTTGTGAGGCCTAATCTAAAATGAAAATATGGAGTTGTTCAAAAGTTATGAAGACTTTCAAGAGGGCAACGGCAGAGCATAATCCAAGTGCAGAGCTTTTTCATGTGCAGGGTCCTGCGCAGTTGCTCAGGCTGCATGTCCATACAGCCAGCCCTGCGCCGAAGGTATGACAAGAGTCAACCTCTTGGCCAATGTGAAGGATGAGACACACCAAGCTAAGACGTATCTTCCCAAGAATATTAAACAAAAATCTACGTTATTTTATGTCAAAGATGTCTCCTCTCTTTTGGATCCTAATCACACAAATCTGTCATTTCTTAGCCACGTGTGTATTCTCTGTATTTTATTTTTCCTTTCTAAAAGTTCTCACCTTGTTTACTCCATTCTATCCCAGGAGACTCACATCCTATAACAATCTGTAGCCTACTTCCTTCCCATTCCAAATTCACAGCCAATCCAATCCAGAATAAGATTCATTTCTAGAGTGTTCTAGAAAGCCTCCTGCCCAATTCTAATATTTTTTGAATGGCAAAATCTTTACAATCTCTGGGATAAACCTTCCTTGGAAATATCAGTTCATTCCCTCAGCACCAGAAGACAGCCATTAGAAAGAAAGCATCTTCATCAGGAAATAAGGATTTGAGTCCTAAAGTCTGGGCAGGTCACTAGCTTTACAGAATCTCAGTTTCCTCATTTACTGAATAAAATACTATCTCCTTGATTGACATTATTAAGATAACACGAGAAGCCAGTGAAAAAGTATTTATTAAAATGGTTTGTAACCTCTAAAGTACTTTGCACACATAAGATATTATTTTGGTAATTTTCATTATGTGTTTGTTTCTGTAATGCCAGCAAACTATAGGCAGCTCCCAATCTGGAGTGAAAAGAACATTATGCTGTAAAGCAGTGCATTGGGCTTTAATTTCTGCTGCTGGTGACATGCTGCGAGATGATGGGCAAGTGACTCTATCTCTCCAGGCCTTAGTCTTCTCATCCATGAACAAAAGGTTTCAATCCCATCACTAAGATTTTTAACAAAAATTTCTAAAATAATTTTATTCAATTTACTTCTTTGACAAAATATTTATTGGGTTCCTTCTATGTACCAAGTAATAACCTAGTCCTTGGGATACAAAGAAATGACATTTCTCTAAGGAGGTCCAGAATGTTCCAGAAATTGTACTTCATGTCACTGGAACAAAGATGAGTAAGATCTGGCCTATATTCTCAAGGAGCTCAACAGGGGGATAGCCAGGTAGATAGATAATGAGTTCTATAGAGGCTTACTCACGTGCTGTAAGAGCAGAAGAGAAGGGTACCTTATTAGCGCAGGGCTGGGGTTGAGGGTGTGTTCAGGGAACACTTTCTGGATAAACTGCCACAAATGTTGCTCTTGTCTAGGAGCACATTTGTATTTCTTTTGCATATGTTCCTTGTAGTCCTCTTAAATTTCTTTCATTTACAGTTAATCTGTAAAACACATGACTCCCAAGTGGTGACACAGGGTGGACATATAATGGTTTAAAGGAATCTGTAGGATCAGAAGATGCTGGTTTACACAAATCCTTATTAGATCATACACGGAAAACCTATTGCTTTGAAGGTTAGCAGATTCTGTTCTGATTCTTACCTCAATACATTTTTTGGAGACTTGAAAAATAGATGAAAAATTGAATTTTTCTTCTGTATGATATAGCCACTGGTGGGGGATTACTCTTTTCTACCATAATAGGGCACTGCTGAATTGTATGATAAAATGCAGACTGGTTTTCACTAGAACAAGGAAAACAGATGAATCAGCAGTCACAAGTAATGAGTCAGGGGCATGACAAAGGAACGGCTCAGGGCTGCGAAGTTATGAGCACACTTTAGGTGATGAAGAATGAGGGGGTGAGTGAAACCCGAGGCTATGGAAGTCTGGTACTGCTTGTATGTCTCTAATATCTCATATCAAAGAACTCAAAGTGCCATTCGGTGCCACAACAGAGACCAAATGCTACCTGTGTATCTGAGCCAGCATGTTTACTCTTGAGTCCTTTCTGTTGTTGTGAAACATTTAAGTGAAAGTAAATCAAAGCAAATATTCTATTTTCTTAAATCCTACACAATGAAATAAACATGACTTCATTCTGTGAGTGGTGTAGATCCGACTTGAAACTGTGAAGTTAATTATCTTAAAAATAGAGTCCTTCAGGGTCACCAGCTAACATATGAAACCCATTTACAAGACTCCCTATAATCCAGGACATGAGAAACCACAAAAATCTGAAATAAATATCCAGCCAGCAAAGATAATCCATAACTGTACAGCGCAAAGAAAAGCTCCACTATGTTCCTTTTTTCCCTTTCACACATGGTTTAAATATTCACTCCCCCATGTTCACTTGATGTAAGATTCTGTTATCATTATGAGGGAAACCTATAATATGCCAACCCTACAAAGAATACTAAGCTCAATTACAAACACTGTCTTTATATATACACTAAATCCTGGGCTCTTGTGGATATCTGCGTAATGAGAGCAAACTGGGTAGAATTTAGCAGCTCTAAGATAATTCATGTCACAATTCTCCACATCTATTTTAGTCTTACAAAAAGGCTTACTACTCCATGAAAAAAATAGTTTTCTTTTAAACAGTTGCGTTTCCTCAGCAATACGCATATACCTGAGAGGCTGAAGTTTAACATAAAAACACTAGGTACTTCATATACAAACCGTTCTGGTAGGACTGCCATACACCTCCTTAAGGGAAGTCTCTGGTCTCTGGAATTCAATGTTTTCTCTCGTTTCTACCCTACATTTCAACTATTTTAATAATCTTGAGACAGACAAGCAACCGAACTTACTCCTAGAGCTACACTGGGCTACCCTAGAATTAAAACCATGTAAAGAATCAAAAGATATCGCTGGAAACAGAGTAATTGCCTCTAATTTCCAAGGCAACTGCTCCTATCTTGGAGCTTCTGGGAGGCACAAGAACTGCAGAAATCTCTGGCCGTAGCACCTTCTTATTTGGTTAGCTGGATTCTCATTTCTTAAAACTGTAAGGTTTCTGATGTGGTTGCCTCCCTGATCCCTCCTTCCTCCCTTCTTCCTCCCTCACTCAGTATCTGGCACAGTTGACAAACTCCTCTCTCCTAGCACCTAACCTGAGGGCATCCTTTCACAGTTTTCTGAATTCCCACAACTGCCTTGCCCAAAGGAGATGATCTGGGCTAACTCTATCAAGATTAATAGAAAAGGAAAACAAAAAAAGGACTGTGGCTAACTAGAATTAAGAGATTCAGTCACTGATACAACTCCTCCAAGGAAGGATCTCATCAAAACACTGGTTTCAAAGACATATTTAATTTCACACTATAAATCGGGGTGGATGGGTGGGAGAGAATGAACTGAGGTAAGAGAGAATAATGGCTTAATAACCATTGTCCAAACACCAATATCCCTGTTTCCAATTTAACTCTATAGTTTATCCAAGAAAATAATATTCACCTTTTGAAAAATAACAATTAGAAGAATTTCACTTAATTGGAAGAGAAAACCAGGAAAGTGAACCAGGAATATAGATTACAAAGCTGTTCTTAGCATTAATTCAATATACAATTAGTAAACTTTAACCGACGATAATTGCCAAAAGGTGTTAAAAAGTTCTTAAGAAAATGTTAGTCATTAACTGTATAAATACTTAAAAAAAAAAGGCCAAGAATATACTTTTGTAATTACTAGAGACAAATCACTACAAGAATCAAGAAAAGTGGATAGTATACATGCATTAACACAAGGTTAGAGATTTTGATTCTTAGAAATATTAAAGATATTGTGGGGAAATATAAATGAGTATTTTGAAGACAATCCAGAGACCCTTTTTCTTTCAATGTCATTAGGGTTACAGAAAAGTTAAAAATGACTTAAAGAGAAAGGGCCACTTGTGACTTTGTCTCAGGCTATTAAGGTACCATAAAAACACGATGAAAAGTTATAAAAACAAAATAAAGGAAACGAAACAAAAAGAAAGTAGCATTTTGGGAAGTGCTCATAAAAGTGGTGATGGAGGGGAAGCTGACACAAAAATAGCAGCACCTTTGGTGGGGAGGGGGGAGTCATATGTTGAACAAGATTGTGCTCTCTCATAAAGTCAGTATCATTTCAGTGCAATCAAGTATATTACTAATGTGCAAAATCTAGCTTTATGAGATGCAGCAGAGGAGAAAGTTGCCTTTGAATGATTACGCTGAAAGTCTAATCAAAGACATTCTCCCATGTTATCAAACACAGATGTGCAGGATAGGATGCTAGAGATGGTTTCTTATTGAAAAAGATTGGCAATAAGATTGAGTACCTTGAATTGAATTCATCTCCTCATCATTTGAAAGCCTACATGTACCTGGGAGGTGCTTCAAAGTCTACATACACGGAATAATGTTCAACACATGTTTGCCTGTAATGCGCTTTTAACCCAAACCCAAATTTCCATAAGCCAATCCAGAAATCCAGGGCTTTCTGATAAACAGCGGCATACAAAGACTACTGACCTAACTGCAGAAACATTCAGATGCTGGGATAGAGCTGAAGAGGAGCCAGCTGAGCCACCACAAACCACGGCTGCTTGGTGTGAGCTCAGGCATATTTTGGTTCACATCTACTATGTGTTACACTCTGGGCGAAAGAACCGTAACATGTCTGTACTTCATCAAATGACATAATTAAATAAAATACTGTGAAACGCAGTATTGTATTTCCCTCTTATCTCCCTTTTTTAAAAAAGAGAAAAAAAGATGTATTTCCCTCCTTTTTGGCTAAAACATTTCTTTTATAACACTGTATTTTAGATTGAGAAGATGTCTGGTATGAGTGCTACCTACTTACTAATTAAACCTTGGTTTTCATTTCAAAGTTTAATTACATCTTCAATTTTTATCTCTGTAAAATGCTAATGGAAGAAATTCTTAAACACAAATGAGTAATTAACACCCACATATTTCTTTTTTTAAATTGTTTAATTTCACTTAAGAAATCCTGTGTTGCAGTGCTGGTTGGGTCACGTAAGGAAGTAAATTTCTCTTCACCATTTATCTACTTTGAAAAAAATATTAATGCAACAAGAAACAACAAATTGGTTGTTATTTACTCTCTGACCGTGACAAACCTCTCACTTGGTGGTAGAATTTGGAGAGGCAGGTTAGGTAAGGACCAAAGGAGATTTCATAT